TTTAAATCCTTGGAACTGTAAAACGCACCTCTGCGCTAAATACTGTCACAGGGACCTAAGGAATTGTTACAGTTGCTATATTTGGACCCAAACTGGTGTGTTGAGAGTAATATTAGATGTTTTAGGGGTTTAAAACAGCTCTCGTTGAAAATGCCACTCCTAATGATTGTTTTCACCGTGTGTTGATCTAAACCCCTAAAACGTCTAATATTACTCTCAACAAGTCAGCCCCTGCGGTTTCTATAAAGGAATAGTTTCGTTAGGATGACATTTTCAAAAAAATCAAAATATAATAAATCTAGCACATGTATCACAAATTCATAATAAATTGTTAACGAAAACGCTCAAGTAATTAAGCTTATACATATTTATGGGGGACTTTTCTATGGAACCTGTGGAACTGGTTTTATGAACAAGACATTATACTGAAGCCGGGAAGGATAATAATTCCGTAGAGACATCACTGTATGTACCATGCACAACCCAAAATTATGTTGGTATATCGTACCATTTCAAGGAATATTGCATTTATCAAGACCTAGAGTTATCTCGCTAGTCCAGACCTAGAGTAACCTCGTTAGTACAGACCTAGAGTTACATCGTTAGTCCAAACCTAGAGTTACCAAGTTAGTCAAGACCTAGAGTTACCTCGTTAGTCCAGACCTAGAGCTACCTCGTTAGTCCAGACCTATAGTTACATCGATAGTCCAGACCTAGAGTTACATCGATACTCAAGACCTAGAGTTAAATCGTTAGTTTAGACCTAGAGTAACCTCGTTAGTCCAGACCTAGAGCTACCTCGTTAGTCCAGACCTTGATTTAAATCGTAAGTCCAGACCTAGAGTTACATCGATACTCAAGACCTAGAGTTAAATCGTTAATTTAGACCTAGAGTTAAATCGTTAGTTTAGACCTAGAGTAACCTCGTTAGTCCAGACCTAGAACTACCTCGTTAGTCCAGACCTTGATTTAAATCGTAAGTCCAGACCTAGAGTTACATCGATACTCAAGAACTAGAGTTAAATCGTTAATTTAGACCTAGAGTTAAATCGTTAGTTTAGACCTAGAGTTACATCGTTAGTCCAGACCTAGATGTACCTTGTTAATCCAGACCTAGAGTTACATCGTTAGTCCAGACCTAGAGCTACCTCGTTAGTCCAGACCTATAGTTACATCGATAGTCCAGACCTAGAGTTAAATCATTAGTCCAGACCTAGATGTACCTCGTTAGTCCAGACCTAGGGTTATCTCGTTAGTCCAGACCTAGATTTACATCGTTAATCCAGACATTTGTTCAATACTCCAGACTTATAATGGGGAGTAAGAAAAAAATCCAAATTTACAAAATGATATTTATATTACAGTTGATGTTATCGTACGGGTATTTGGCGGTACTGTATATAACGAAAGCAGTGAATTTTCTGTAAAACATGATAGATCAAGCAAACAAGGACGTAAGATTATAGTTACAAGATTATATTATCATAAAATGTATGCTTGTTTTGACATAAACAGAGTCAGAATTTAGAACGATATTGAAGTAGATTTGTTGAAAGTTATTTAAATATTTGTATTTGAAGACTAAGCTGGTTCAAGGGAAATAACTCTTATGCAAATTTAACTCTCTCCGTTCCGATGTTCCTACCCCAACTCAATGCACTATATGTATTTTTTTAATCTGGTACACGTTAATAACTATATTGTCAAGCAATATAATCTAGTGTTCTCTATGTTATGCGATTACATCAAATCAGAAATTCTCATTTGCCCACAATTGTCGGGGTCCTTTAAACTGTGTATCTTGTAAAACAGTGGCGTTGCATACATGTATGCTTGTAAGCATACACAAAACTTTCAATATTTTTCCAATCATGTGTTTTAATTTAAAAAAAAATATCATTAATATGAACCGTCCGTATCAATCATAAAAAATAGTCTGATAAAATAGTGTTACTATGTTATGCCTATTACACATTGAAAAATCTCGTAAGTTTAAGTAAATCAAAAACTACTTAAAGAAGTACATAATGTAAATAATTCAATTTTATTCGTATAAAAATTCGTGTTTTACTTGTAATCAATCTAAAAGGAACATCCAGAACAGGGGAAATTGCTTCTAGGGCTTAGCAGATTTCTTTCCAGCCTTGGTCTCTCCCATACCCTCCCCGGCTCCGGCGCTACGCGCCTCGGACGTTCGACCCTCTGTAAGCATACACTCTGAAAAACTGTAGAACACTGTAGAACTGTAGAAAGAAAGACAGTATACTTAGCTATGATTGATCTATATCTAATTTGACTCGCGCATCACTAAAAAGTGTCATGGCAATCAAACAAGCTAATTATATATAATGTTAACGTTCCTCGATTTGTATGTAAACGGTGGCGCAAACTTATCAATCGGTCAGCAACCATCTAATACACTACAGCTTGATATATACACTACAGTTTGATATATACACTACAGTTTGATATAAACACTACAGTTTGATATATACACTACAGTTTGATATATACACTACAGCTTGATATATAAACTACAGCTTGATCTATACACTACAGTTTGATATATACACTACAGTTTGATATATACACTCCAGTTTGATATATACCCTACAGTTTGATATACACACTACAGTTTGATATATAAACTATAGCTTGATATATACACCACAGTTTGATATATACTCTACAGCTTGATATATAACCTACAGCTTGATATAGACACTACAGCTTGATCTATCCACTACAGTTTGATATACACACTACAGTTTGATCTATAAACTACAGCTTTATATATAAACTACAGTTTGATATAAACACTACAGTTTGGTATATACACTACAGTTGGATATATAAACTACAGCTGGATATATACACTACAACTTGATATATAAACTATAGCTTGATATATACACCACAGTTTGATATATAAACTACATGTTGGGATGTACACTACATCTTGATATATACACTCCAGTTTGATATATACACTACAGCTTGATATATAAACTACAGCTTGATATATACACTAGAGTTTGATATATAAACTACAGCTTGATATATAAACTACAGCTTGATATATACACTACAGCTTGATATATAAACTACAGCTTGATATATAAACTACATCTTGATATATACACTACAGCTTGATATATACACTGTGTACATACTTTCATTAGGAGGGTTATCGGGTTTTGCTCTCTCCGCTCCCCATCGTATCTTTAATCTACCATGTCAGATTCATCACGTCCAAAGTTTGTCATTCATGTACAGCGTGTACAGACGTGTTTCTCGTCGTGTCCGCTATAAAGTCAGGTACAGGGCAGGTTTCTCACAGCATTCGTTATACCATCTGGTAAAGACAAGGGGCTAGTAACCATCAATATGTATTGACTAATGACTAAGAAAAAATGTTGGAAGTAAATAAAATCGCATTTAAAAAATTGTATTTGAACTCCTTATTTATCGTTGCTACCCCTGTGGTGGCACTATCAGAGGCGAATCCTGACACTTCAAAACATTAAAAAAGTAATAATTTAAATATACAAGTTCTTTAGTGGCTTTGTAGAGTTCAGTGAAGCTTTATAATGTAGTGAAATCTTAGGCAATTTTTGTAACATTTAAAAATAAAGATCTAACGGTAGCATAGTCAAATTAAACAACTCCCAGTCATGCATAATACCCCATCCTCGACTTTTCTGATGAAAAACAAAGCTCCGTTACAGGTGTAGCGCCAAACGTAGTCAAGCGACAGGCGATTGTTTCAAACACATGAGAAAACATCCGAATTATGGACCCCGCCCCTTTACAAATATATATAATACTTATAGAAAATAGAAGCTCCGTGATTTATTTTAGTGTTCAATGGAAATGTCTTTAAAATATAGACAAAACAACAGGCTATTTATGGAATTTTATAAGTTTGAGCACCAGGGTAGGCTCTGGGTTTTTATTATTATATTATTATATCATATATTAATGTTGTTTGCGGCCCGATATAAAAATTGATGACCTTTGGTGAATATTTCTTTTACTCCTGCATTGATATAGTTTTTCGGTCAGATAATATGAATTATGTTTTCAGTATACAGACCATACGATGCCAGCGATATGTATTTTATTTTTCATTGGTAGAGAATAAGTGCTTTTTACCTAGAATAAGTTGTACTAATTGGTCAAATATGATGATGTTATATTATTTCATCAAAATAAGATGTTATATTAATTGACAGCATAAGATGGAGTTGTGTTTTACGTATCATTAGGAAATAAGATTGCCTTCTAATAATATATATATATATATATATATATGGGGTTGTGCAGGATGTAATTTCCGCTTGTATTTTAAAATAACAATTATATGTATTACTGTACATATCACAATGCAAGAGGATGTCTTTCTTGTAGATATTTTATAACAATATAACAGCCTCATTGTCACTGGGAACAGCCTTACTTCTGCCAAGACCACCATATACTCTTTTCTATTATTCCCTAACAAATCCGTATTTTACGTCTAGCCACACACACGCCTGATATAAGTCCGTATGGAGATACAGAAACATGCATGGTTAGTTCCTTTACATGTTTCCTCATCCACCCCCTCCTAACACCAGAGGGCTTAGTCGTGTAAAACCTGCTTTAAACTAACTTGCTAACAACCCCTACTTAGTTACAAGCAAATTTCAATCTTTACTATATCTATTGTAGATAATGATTTGATTCGTTCATTTGTTTATCCAAATTAATCCACAAGAGTTACAGTGAATCATCCCGTTTTAGACGCAGGCCCATTGGACCTCTTCACCTGAACATGACACACACATCATTTAAAATAAAATATGTAATCTAATAAATATTATGGGCGTCTGTTAATCTTATAAAATATTATGAATTATATAAAATTCGACATTTAGTTAACATGTTCTTCTAATAAGTTGTGGCGTTAATAAGCTTTAGTGAAAAGTTAAGTTTTTTGACAGATATCTAACGATTCAAGCGACCTTACACTATGGCGGCTTCCATGCCACGTAAGTTGAGATCTCGTCATTCCCCTGAACTTTTTCGGTGTATTCACCGCTTGTTGGGGATGATTTATCTGTTCGAGCTTTACAGGGATAATTGTTGTTGTAGATTTGATATATATATATGTATTTGAAATTCAAATGACGCAAAGATGGTGTCAATATTGTCTCCCCATCTGGTCACACCTAAATCACAAGGGTCGCAATCTCTGAATCTGCACCTACACCTCAGGCATGATATGCATCTGGTATGTGAAAATATGAAAATGTTTTCCATACCCTACTTTATATAGTATGCATGAAAATATAGATATACGAAAAAGTCTTCCATACCCTACTAAATTGTCAATACAGTATACGATATTGTTAATATAGTCAGATAGCAAGAATAGGAAAGGCATGCCAGATGCATCTAACAACGGGTTCACGGGTTGTTACGATCACCCTTAATACTGAACGTTAAGCAGGGAATTACAACTACCATTCTTAAGGTACAACATTCCCCCAAAATGTCAACCCCATGGTAAGTCATATTCAAAGACCAAAATTAAAAATCGGACTTCATATATTTAATTTCAATTAAATGAACTTGAACATTAGCTATTTAAATGGTCAATAACCAGCTTAACGTAGTCGATAGTTAGGCATTAAGACTGATGACTTTATACAAATAGTTCACCGACTAATAACAATTACCATGTCAATCTCCTTTTGTAATCCAACTGAGTGCTACAATGCAAAATGCCATATTATCTAACGTTCGTTTATACACTGAGGTCATGCAGGGCTTAATTTTTCTTACAAGCTATTGAGATCTAGAGGTGTACCAAACATTAAGATCATATTTATAACCGATCTTCAACTTCAACTTCAATGTTTTACTCGTCAAAAAACATGTATGGTCATAACGTCAAGGGTGACTATGTACATCCGTGCAGTGTGGAGCCTTTGTGCAGTTAAAACTATATACAATCGGAAAAGTCTATTCCACCTCTCCCCTGACTGCCGCCTTGAAGGCGTCCAGGTCCTCGATGCTGGCGACGATGGGTAGCAGGAGGTTCCATGTTGTGATGGTGCGGGGGATAAAAGAATGTCTGTATGCGTTGGTTGCCATATGCGGAGTGTAGAGTTTGTAGGGGTGGCTGTTCCTTGTTGTTGTGACGGTGGAGTAGGTAGGATGGTAGTTGGTTGGTACTGCTATGTGGTGGTGTAGAATCTTGTGCATAAATATGATGTCCGTTATCTTGCGTCTGTGTTCCAATGTATTCCATCTGAGGTCCTTTATCATCTGTGTAGTGCTGTCAGGTTTGTTGTAGTTGAGGGGCTTTTTTAGTACGAATCTTGCTGCGTTTTTCTGTATCTGTTCTATCCTGTTGATGTGTTGGGTTGTGTGTGGATTCCAGGCTGTGGTGCTGTATTCTAGTTTTGGTCTGACAAGGCTTTTGTATGCTCTCTCTTTTACTTGTTGTGGGCAGTGTCTTAAATTCCTCTTCAAAAATCCTAGTGTTCTGTTGGCTTTGCTGATGGTGTTGTCTATGTGTGTGTTGAATTTGAAGTTGCTTGCTAATTCTACTCCTAGGTATGGGTGGTGCTCTACTATNTCTAGTGTTCTGTTAGCTTTGCTGATGGTGTTGTCTATGTGTGTGTTGAATTTGAAGTTGCTTGCTAATTCTACTCCTAGGTATGGGTGGTGTGCTACTATTTCTAATGTCTGTCCCTTCATCTGGTAGTTGTACTGTTGTGTTGTATTCTTGTTGGTGGCTTGCATAATGGCACATTTATTCACGTTAAACTCCATCTGCCAGGTGTCTGCCCATTGACACAGTGTGTTTAGGTCGCGTTGTAGATTCTCGTGGTCTTCTGGTGTGTTGATGGGTGTGTATAGTACGCAATCGTCTGCAAATAGTCTGATGGTTTATTCGATTTGGTCTGCAATGTCGTTGATGAATATTAAAAATAGTGTAGGTCCGAGGACTGTTCCCTGTGGTACTCCTGATGTTACTGGTGATGATTGCGAAACTTTCCCTTCTACTAGCACTTGTTGTTTCCTATCTGTCAAAAAGTTGTCAATCCATTTCTGTGTGGTCCCCTGTATTCCGTAGTGGTGTAGTAGTTTTGATGAGAGTCGTTGGTGTGCGACTTTGTCGAATGCCTTGGCGAAGTCTAGAATTGCAATGTCTACTTGTGTCTTGTTGTTGTTGATGTGCTTAGTGATGTCGTCTGTAGTGAGGAATAGTTGTGATTCGCAGGAGCGTTTTCTTCGGAAGCCGTGTTGATTTTCGTGTAGTATGTTCTGT